GCCTCCCGGTCTAATTAGTATATTAACCTTTTGTTAGTATAGATACCCTTTGAAATGTCTAGGTAACTTGTAACTTCCCTTTTTCTGGACCCCTTGGGGCACAACCTAATGTGCTGGGTGCCAGGATACCACAAATTCCCTCATCATGTTAATTGTTCCTGCACCCACCTAAGTATGTGTCCATCATTTTACTTTTATCCAATCCTAGTGGTTTCCCACTTTGCTTTCTCCCGCCTCTCTAGTCTATCACCAATGGATTTCATGTGACCCACCTACATCCCTTTGCTCTGATTGCAATGTATAAATACAGATGTAACCCACCACTCTCCTGAGCATTACCATATGCTTTCTGGCATATGTTGACAGTTTGGCTCAAGTAAACTCACAAAAATTCTTTACAGGTTTCAATGGTTTTTACGTTAACATTACTTGGCGTAGTCACAGCAGAATTCCAAAGAAGCTCACTAACTAGGATCCAGCAAAGGGCCCACTGAGCCCGCAGTTTCTCCGCCCATTGGGTGAACTTGGGTGAGTTGTCTCTTGGATCCAGGACCTTCCTTTGCTTTGGTAGAGAAAATGGGTGGCCGGTTTTTATTTTGGCTTTTCAATTGGAATTGCTGAGAGTCTGAGCAAAAATAACCTTTGCCATATAAATGAGCTGAATTCATTCAGCTTTGAACATAAAGGGGCACATCCTCCCTCCAGTCCGATTCTGGGGTGTTCTTAGGTGACTAAGAATCTTTGTGGAGGTGTCAGAAATGCAGGAGCCCCATAAGGAAGTCCCAACACAACTGTAATTAACTAAATGGCTCATCTAGAGGGCCACCATAAGGCTTGGTCTGCCTGGACCCTGAACCTTTCCTGTGGTTTTAGACAGCTGGGAGAGAAAATGAGGCCACACCTGACCCACTACATAACATGTCTAGAAAGTTTGCTCAGACTACAGATATCCAAAATTTAAAAAAAACCCACAAAAAAACATGGGATTGTGCCTCCAAGGACAAAAGCTCTCCAAACCCCAGCTCTCATTTAAAACACCTGATAGGAAGCCTTTACTTGCAAATATTTTACAGAAATGGGAAGGTTTAACTAGAAAATATCAACTTAGAAATGGCCAAAATGCTGTTTGTTTTGGGTACCTACATTAACATTTTGCACGCAGAAATTAGAAAATGCCGGCTTGAAATTAAACTGAATGACTATATGGGAAGCATATCTTGATTATGAAATTAGAAGCTTCTAAGGAAAAGCATAGAGAAAAATTCTTCCAAAAAGATGAAAATTAATAAAAAATTATAGAGACTGTCCCAGAACTATTCTGAAGTTAATAAATGTCTACACCCCGTGTCCCCCCTGATTTATCTTCATAGAAAAGAAACAGCATGTGGCCAGGCCATTACTGAATGTCCCCAGAGCAAACAGCATGTGGGGGTTGGGAGATACGTGGCCAATGGCACATGTTCTAGGAAGATTCCTCCAGACAAAGGGAGGTAGAGGCAACTAGAAAAGACCCCAGCCCATTTTTTAAATAGTCCATTGGGAGAATGCTGAGGTTCTAGAGAGGGGCAGTTCCCGAACCAGGAACAAAAGACATTGCTCTGGTAATGTTTAATGCTTGACATTCTCTGGTGTAAATGTTTGTTGTGTTCTGTGCGCCTGTATAAAAGTGTTGATGTTTTGTGTCTCTTTGTTGTTGTTTAATTTGTTTAAAGAAGAGGTAAGTCCTGCTATGGGGAAGCCTAGCTGTGTGTGGTGGGGTTGAAAGTGTGAGAGAGATTGCAAGAATGTCCTAGCAGCTGCCAAGGACTCTTAATCTTGGGGGCTCTTCTTGCTCTCCCTCTCAGGGTTCAGCCACCAGAAACAGCTGGTGAGATTTCTGTTTGTCTGCAATATAATGTTGGCTTTCTATCTTTTAGGGATTTTGGTTTGCTCTTCCCTTGTTTATGAATATGGGGACAAAGATCACAGGGGGAAGTAGGGATTATAGGCATGGGGAAGTAAACTATACAGGCTGAGTTGGGCAACAAAGTTAATGCTTCCATGATAATGCAGCTTTTGAATAAGAATGTACTGCATTCCAAGGTTGACTCCAAGGGCCCTGGAATGACTCAGGATTTATTCTCTCTTCTTAAAAGAAATATTTTTTGAACTTAATTAGGCCGATTTAATATACTTGATATTACACGGGAAGCTTTGTCAAATAAAAATTAATAACTATGTTCTATTTATATACATATAGTTTGTTGAAATGAATGTTATAGAAATTTCAGTTGGCATCAGAAAGGAACTTGCAAAGATTCAGAGATAGGTTCAAAGAGGAAACTTTCAGGGGGGTAGCATGTGTCCAGTCAGGGACACCAGGCAAGCCAAGAGTGATGGTCCTCTGTGGGGGCATCTGCCAGTGATACTTGGGATATTTGTAATTCGCATGAAATTATAATTGAATCTAAAAGTATACAAATTTTATATTATTCTCTATGCCATTTTACAGGAATTATTATTTACCAAGAAATTGTTGTTTTGGAATATTTTATAGAAAAGCAAAGTTTTATCAAATCTATTACCATGCCACTTCTAAATTTTGTCATTCATGAACAGCTGTTGTTTTATTCTGATGCATTTGTAGGTATATTATATCTTTAGAAAAATCCACGAAAAGGGCTCTGACACTCGCCTTCATCTCAAGGATGAGAAGCCGCCGACTATGGAGGAGGTAGACAGCCATCCCAAGACGTCAGCAAGGCCTGTGTGCTCACAGATTGATGCTGCTCAAAACTTGTTCTTATGTCCCCTAGTTGTTATTGGCTGAACGTCTATATAAGTGATTTTTATACTGTCATTATCCTCCTTATGGTTTCTTAGTGGAAACAATATCTGTCTCTCTAGAACTCTTCCCCTATTAGACATGAAAAATTTTCCACCTACTAGACAGTGATATTCTGATGATCGCTATGATGAGTATTGTCTAAATATAGGAAAGGACAAAATTAACTGCCCAGAAGAAAAACGGAAACTTCTGGATAATAGCAGGTATTTGTTTCCCCTACATTTTCTGTTCCTAATCAATGTTACTGGTTTATTATTGTTACTTTTATTCCTGGTATGTAAAGGTTATGCTAGATGCAGAGAAACAAAACTTGACGAACAGCAAAAAGACTTGGATCATGGTGGCTCAAAAACTAGAAATGATTTTTAACAAGGACATGTAGGATCTGACTGCCTCCCATTTACCCTCCCTTTTTGAATAATATTAATTCGACCTTCAATTCCAGCAGGGGTCCCAGATTGGAGAGGGTGCAGGATGGGCTGAGGGACCCGCCCCCCCCATCAGTTTTGTGCACCGGGCCTCTAGTATCTATTATAAAGGACCTACCTTGGACAAATCTCTCCAAGAGCACTTCCATAATAATTCCCCGGGTAGAATAATATGTAGATCTAATCTAGATGAGTATTTTAGATGAATATTGCCTAAATGTAGGAATGGATAACATTAACTGGCCAGAAGAAAAATTAAAACTTCTAGATAGAGAGAACCAAGATGGCGGCATAGGTTAACGCCGGAGATTGCTGCTTCGAACAACCAATTCAAATTACACCTGAAACATGGAACGGACACCATCCAGAACCACAGGAGGGCTGGCTGAGTGGAAATTCTACACGTAGGAG